GTGGAGGTAAATTGTACATTTGCGAAGAGCCTGATTTTATGCAAAGAGTTTACACATAAGGTAGCCTAAGGGACTGGAAATCGATGTCATGTGGAACAGAAGTGATGGTTTGCAGATCCAGCAGCCTCCAGAGGAATCAAGCCCCTTTATTTCGTGATTTTTGCCACTCTAACAGTATCCTTTACCTTCATATTTTCCATATATATTTGGTCAGCATCTAAATGCTATATAAAGGTATAATTAATTAGATTGAAAGCAAATTAGCCTGAGGTGATTCTTAACTTAAAAAATCATTTGCTCAATTGTTTTACTAAAAAAACACAGGTCGGAATCTTAAAATTGATGTAAATGGACACAGCTCTGCTATCTTCAATGAAGTTAGGCCAATTTATGCCACATCTGCAACTACTGAAGTCAATGTTTCACCCTGATTTTATATTAGATAATGAAGCATAACATGTTTTCTACCAGCAGTAATACTGGGCCCTCAAGTAATGTGTTCCTTCAAAGTCATTCTCTCAGGAAAAAAACTGTTCTTCCATCACTATATATATATAAAATACATACGGACAGACAAAAAAGATGCGTAGATCTATAAGAAGAGATAGATCTTACTTAGATCCTTACTTAGAAATCGCACCTAGACCTCTTCTAATGTGAAGTACAGAAGGGATAAAAAAAAGTGGAAAGTATAATTCAGCAAAATTTTATGAGTTGAAAAAAAGATTTTTAAAATACACAGAGTCCGGAAAAAGCAAATATGTTACAGGTGGTGCCATTATATAACTTCATATGCAATAACTTAATGTTTTATGTACATCATAAATCTGAACTAAATTTAGAGCTTCTTTATTGATTAAGACTCAGAAATAACCCACAAGTAAAGTGATCCCAGATCTTTTCAGTTCCTCCAGTTAATAATGAGTTTTAATCTGTTGGACAATGACAAGAGATTTGGAATTAGGAGACAATAAAAGAAGCTGGGTTAGTTCTTCAGACGGCATCTACTGATTTACCTTGGTTGAAGAAACCCTAAT